ACCCCCTCAGACGTCCTTGAAAACTATAACGTGAAGTTTTTCTCGTCAAATCGGGTGTCAGAAATAACATATCTCAATCCTGTAGGTGTACACATCCAATTTTCAAAGATACGATTTTTTCAACTTTCCACCCCATTTTCAGCCCCAGGAAAACTATAATGTGAAGTTTTCTCTGACGAATAGATCATGATAGATAACATATCTCAAACTTGTAGGTGCACACATTCAATTTTCGAAGATACAATTTTTTAAAATTTCTACCCCATTATCACCCCCTCAGACGGCCTGGACAACTATGACGTGAAGTTTTTTCTGTCGAGTAGATCATCAGGAATAACATATCTCAATTTTGTAGGTGTACAAAGTCGATTTTTCATGTTACGATTTTTTTAAATATTTCCACCCTATTTCTACCCCTTCAGATAGTTCAATAAACTAGGACGGTTCTGTTTTTTTACTAATTCAGTCAATTAGCGTATCATATTGAAAAATGGTAGGTGTGCAGAGTCGGTAAATGAAAAAATAATAATGCGATATTTTTTCTCAGTGTACTTTGTGAATGTAGATAACTTCACACCCGTGATTAACGGGTACATACTCCGAGGATCAGCGCTTCCAGAAATGCTGTTGGATCTGCTGAATTCGCTCGTAACTAGAAATACCAGCCATTTTGATTAGATCATTTATTGCACAATGGCGATATAAACGACCAGCGCTAAAATGGCAGCTCAACCTATGAGTACCTGATTCATCCACAAAAGTACCACATTTACAAAAGTGTTGGACACACAGAGGTGTACCAAGTCGAAATCCAATCGGAAGTCTGAAAGAGTTGTTATCCAATAGAGTCCCAAGTGAAGCTATAGGAACAGCATTTAAGCAAGCACCAGATTCTTTCACAGTAACTGCGAGAAGACGAGCCTTATTTTTTAAAGTGTCAGAAGCTGTCTTCAGTAAAATACTAGTTTCTTGATCTAGTAATGGTTTATCCCATGCCCTCTGGTTTTTCATTGTTTGGCCAGTTCTAGACTCCCAAAGAGATTTGCCCCAATCAAAAACACAATCAGATATTGGCTTTGGGTATTGTAAGAAGATTTTTATCAGATTGGAAACACTGCAAAGTGAGGACAGAAATGATGACAAAGCTAGTGAAGTAGCTGAACGAATCTCTAATCCTCCTCTAGAAGCTGGAAGTGATGCCTGTAACCAAGTTTCGTCTTCGATACGGTTATTAGTGATGAGTTCCAGGATCCTCGTTAATTCGTCATCGATATTTTGTAATCCCTGTTCGTCGTGCTAAGTAGGGCTGCACCTCAAAATATACGATAATTTTGGAATGGCCAACAAATTTTTCAATAAATGGAATGCGACATGTGGAAAAATAGATAAATGTCCTGACATGACACGAAGTGATTGTAATTTTTCTTTCGAATTACATTATCATTAGATAATGGGGCACCAGGAAGAAACCAATTGAGTTTCTCAATCACTCGTATACCGGGGGCTATTAGGTTAAATTGATCGATTATGTTAGGGTCTTGTTTATCCAGAAAAATGAGTTCACATTTCTCGAAATTTATCTCAAGTCCCGAGTTTTTCTAATGACTTATTGTGTTTCGAAAATTTTCTAATACCACATTTGCTTAGTCACCAATTGAACCATCATTCAAATACCAGCCGTTGAATTCAGTGGATATTTTATTTATAATATGATGATAGAAAAACAACAATAGTGGTCAAAGTGGATCTTCCTGCTGTAGTCCTTGTTCGGACATTATAATTCCGTTACCAAATATTAAAAAAGAAGGTTCACTATAGCGTTGTTCAATGAAAGGGTACATGTCTGGTATGGCGTTAGCAACCGAATGTAACATGAAATTTCTATCTATAGTATTGAATGCATTCTTAAAATCAAATTTCAGAAAACATATTTCATTTGGGTTAGGGTTTTGATTAATATAACATCGTGCAGCATGGACTAGTCTTCGCAACCACCATTTGTTCCAAATCCAAATTGTTGGAGACGAAATAGATTTCAAAGACTTTCTCGTAGATTGAAACAAGCAAGTTTCGCTACTAAACGTCGATAAAAATTTCCAACAGCTATAGGACGTAGACCGACAGCCTTTTTCTTTAAGGCACATAAAGAATCACCATATAAAATAGAACGTATGTCTTGATTGACATTTCCAAGAAGAAGCATATTACAAAGTTTCGTTAAAGAATTCAAAAGATGTTCGTCACAACTACCGAAACTATAGATCAGCATATCTTGAATATGAGACAGTCGCAATGAATCAAGATCTCCACAAGAACCGGTGCGAAAAGATCTGATTGCTCTGAGAACATCTACGCTCGTAATTTTCAGAGGACTATAAGAAGTTGTATACTGTCCAGAATTGTATAAACTTTGAGAAGAAGAACGTTTACTTCGTAATTCTTTCAATGTTGAACCATCAAATTCAGCAGGTCTATCAGATGAACAGAGAAATCTAACAGCTGCTGTTATATCACCGTCAGAGACTTTCGAGAGTACTTGTTTTTTGAGGATGTCCTTATAATTTTTATGTTTATTGGAAATTTTGGTATAACAATTAGTCGATTTCGTAATGTTATTGAAACTGTTCATTGTTGTAATTGAAATTTTCCGATTATCTTTACTTCTCTGAATACTGAATTTAAATAAGCAAACATGAAAAAACTTTTCCAAGTAGTGAAAGAATTCCTGGATACACATTCGTTATTTAATTTTGTGAGGGTGATTGCAGAGAGGAACTTTGCAGCGGAATACGTTTAATAGTATGTCTAGTTCTTCTAAAATCCTACAAAAGGATATGGAATGGAGCTTCTTTGTTTTCAGCATCAGATTCTTCCTCGAAATTCTTATCGGGATTGGAGTTTTCTCAGGATTTTGCAGTATTAATTGATTCAGAATGAACTTTTCGCATGTGGATTTTCAATCCTCGTATTCTGAAAAATTCTCCACATATTAAACATTCTGCCTAAACAGCTGATTGTCTTTCTTCTTCTGTCATCGAATATAGATCAAATTGGTTTGACTTATCGTGATCGGGGTCTTTTAATTCCTTTGTGACTTTTTTGTATCGTCCAAAATCTTGAATGTCACCTACCGTCAGTTAAGTTGTAAATGGAATTATTGCAGAAAAAACGAATTTTCGTTGAAATTAGCACCAGATTTTTATATATAATTATCCAAAACGTTTTGTCCCATAAAAATAGTGTACAAATCTTAACTTATCTAACAAACAAAATCCCATTGGAAAATTTCAGTAGATGTTATATATAATGATTCAATGTGTAACAAAAAAAGAAAATGTGATATCACACAAAAAAAGAAACATCATTGCACAACTATGTCATCACAATCAATATACGTATCAGTTAATTTTCAATCAATGATTGTCAATTAATGGGTGTATCTCCCTTCTTGGCCTGCACATTACATAACTTTTAATTTCAGTCTTAAAACTTTTGAGTATATTTTCATTTTTTACTTCATCTGACAAGGTGTTGTATAATTTTGTACAAATAACTTTTTGGTCCAATTTATTTGTTCATAATTGGTGTAACATACTTTTGTTATATTTGGTTTCACAGAAATGTGTGCGACGTTGTAATTCATATCTATTTAAGTGTTGTCTTATACTGACTTGAATATAATATATCTGTCGAATATTTAATACTTTCACTTCGACAAAAAGTTGATCGGTGGGATATCCATGGTTTTTGTTCAGTAGTAATTTCAAAAATTTATTTTGCGAGGCCTGTATTGCATTATAGTGTGTGCCCTTGATACACCCCCCCAACCTATGATTACGTAGCTCAGATGTGAATTTACCAAACTGTGATAGACTATTACTCTCTTTTTTTTATTAATTTTTTTTAAACCTATATGAAATACACCTCAATGTTTTTGTTAAGTAATCCACATGAGTTTTTCATCTGAAAGAACGATCCAACATTATTCCTAAAAATATAATTTCATCTGCTGGTCTTATTGCAAACGAATTTAGTATGGTTATATCATAGTTTGGAAGAGCTGTCTCAAGGCTACCGAATGGTAAGTAAACCATTTTTTTTAAATTTACCGATAATAGTCAAAGTCCCTTTTAATTTTAATTTTCAAATTGTACCAGTTTGTATCTTTATAGATTACTACAGTATCATCGGCAAAGCTGATGATTTGACATTTTTTCTCCAATAGAGATATAAGTTATGAATAACAAAGTACCCAACACCGTCCGTTGAGGCATACCACATGTTACTTTCTTTGTTTCGCTGATTTATCATTTATTTTGACCTGTTGTTTTCGCCTTTTCAAATAATTGTCAAAAAAACTATGTACTGTACCTCTTTTTCCCATGTCCCCTAAGGTTTCCAGTAATATAGAATGGTGGACGGTGCCGTAAGCTTTTGCCAAGTCTAGATATATACCGATTACTGGTTCCCCTTCATCTGTAATTCGTAAATACTGTTTGCTGATAAATGTGTTGCATCTTGAGTTGACAGGGTTTCTAAAACCGAATTGGGAATGTGAAAATAAATGAAGTTTTCCCAGGAGTTTGTTAGCTCTAGCTTTTACAATCTTTTCTAAACCTTTAGCCAAGCTTGTTATAAGTGAAATTGGTCTGTGATATGCTGCACAGCTTTTATTGTGCTGGAATTCGACTTTTTATTGAATACTTTTGAAGCATTGAAGTGATTTAATAATTTCTTCTATATAGCAACGTGATCCATGATTGATGAATTACAAAATTGGATTTGTCACATTCTCTCAAATATCTACTACTGCTTATACATTTCAGTCTATTCCACTCATAATATTTATATAAAATTAGTTCACATATAAATGATGTTTATACACAACAGTCTATTTAATTTGGTTTATTTACATACATTACAGACTTTGTCGATAAGAATTATAATTCTTTCGGCAGTGATTCAAACATTTGTTATGAATATAAATTCAAAAACAAAAGTGTATATATGGATTTATCCTTTATTTCTACATCATGCATGCAAGCATCACAATGTATGATTTTATAATAAATTACATAATAATATGATATTTTAACAAAATTAGTAACATGACGTGTACAGTCCTGTAAAAATAATAGATAAAGTGTGCATATGTAATAAACAAAATCTAGTCAAAGTTAACAATTGGTAATACGATAAATTGTTATCTTTGTGATAAACATGTATATGTAGCAATAAGCTGGTGTTTTGGTATCTATTTCAACATTTGACGCAATGGGGTTTGCCGGCATCTACTTGGAATGACTGATCTTTCATGATTGGCTTGGAACATCTCTGAAAACAAAATATGTGTAAGTGATTTTCAAATCATTTACCCAAAACGGAATTATAATCGTGATAGTTCACACTTATTTATTTCATTTGATTATATTCAAATCAAATCAATAGAGGTAATCAACTACTCAAAAAATAACCTAAGAAGAATCATTGAAGGAAAACAATGCCACAATTCATTATGTTGCAGGAATAATTATAGAATTATTTCAGAATGTACCAAGAATTTTTTGAGTTTCTATTCCATATTGAAATTTATATTATCTTTTTTGTAAACAAATTACAACTAGATTTTTCTCATCCACTGAATCAACTCACGAAGGTTTTTTTATGAAATGTCTTTGGAACAGACAATAATGTTTCGGAACTATATAGAAACCTTTCAATGAAAATAATAATAAAAATAAAAAGTCAATCGAAGACATTTTGAAATACTACCGAATAAATGATTTTATCAACTGCAGAAAGTCAAAATGAGTTTTAAAAAAAATACTTTCTCAATGTATCATGTAAACATTACGGCTCACATCGAACTTCTAGTAGAACTTTGAGGTAAAAGAGTGAAGTTATCGATAAATTTATGGCTGGACTAGATTTATTACATAATTAAACATTAAAATAGTTTCAAAAGATGTTCATTCACGTCAACAAGTATCAAGTAACTTTCAAGACAGGATGATGTTGGTTATACTGAACGAGCTATCAAAACTCGTTTTGAAGAACACGGGGCGTTCCATTGAAACCACATGAGATGTTCTATTTGAAAATATCAAACGAACAATGTGTTCGAGTTTTGAGTCATCCAGAACTAGAAAGAAGCATATACAGTATTAATCGGAATATGAAAATACATGTAAGGTATTTCATTAAAAAACTTTGAAGCGTGATCTTGCCATTTGGTATCTTATAAAATCGTAAAATATTTCAAAAAGCGGAATATGTCTTATATCTGAAAGTTTAATAGAAAAAATGTTTTGAAAGCTTCATGTGACCCATATTCTTTGTATTTTAGAGGGAGGTAGTTATAAATTGTTTCATGTGGTAAATATTCAGTTCAGTAACACGATTACCGAAGTTGTTTCCAAATATGGAAAAAACAATCATTATTCTATATTCTGAAACAAAACTGAGTACAGAGTAATTTTATTTTATTTCAACCTTTTATTCTTCAATAAGATAATAATAAAACGAAAACTAATGTTCCTGTGTTGCATTTCGAACTTAATCACAATTTTTTTGAAAATTGTAGAATTATCTCGCCTGTTTTCTATTACAGTTTTATTATTGATTAGCTACCTATAACTTGGAAGTAAACAAAGTTGATGATTCATTCAACGAAATAACGTTTCAGGATTTCATTTCTGAGTATGCACTAATTCCCAGCTTATGACAATGTTTCGAAATATATCGTCTAAAAATAATTCAACTTTGGCAGATTTACTCACTAATTTGAAACACTGAATTACGAAAAGGTTTCGCCATGGGATAATATATAATTTTCCCGCATGAATTGAAATTATAAGTTGTTTATGAGAAGTGAAAATGTCATACAGGGGAAAAAAGTGAATACAATGTATGACATTCGCTGTTTTTATCTATGTAAACTAAAAATATTACTGATTTTTCAAAATATGCTTCAGCATAAAAGATCTCTATATTAAAAACGATAACTGACTGCATTATTGACAAAAATATATTTTCGTCAACGATTTCGAGTATTGATTTTACTCGATATTCTTTATGGCCTGACTCAACGACACTGGGCTGTTGGAAATAGTTTTAGTCATCTGATAATGCCAAATGGGTTAGCGAAACGCGCGTTAAGAGACAGCTTTTTGTTCTGGTGAGGAAAAAGTGTTTTCAATCGATTCATTTCACGCCAGAGGTTCCAAATTTCACTCATCAAACAATGGACTAATCAACCTGAATCGGCTACTATTTAGTAATTCTGTTTACAACAAGTTGGCTAACATCTGCCAACGTATGGTTATGACATCGAAACCAAAGTCCAACCGTCCCAATGGAAGAGCCCAGGAGAGCCAAGACCAAAAATGCACGCCAAGTTTGATTAAAGGTCAAGATTTTGCTTACTGCTTTCTTCGATTACTGTGGCGTAGTGCATCAGGAGTTCTTGCCACATGAAAGTACGGTCAATAAAGACTGTTACTCTTGAAGCCATGCGCCGTTTGCGAGAAGCAATACGAAGAAAACGTCTGATATTGTGGAAGAACAATTCATAGCTTTTGCAGCACAATAATGCACCTGCCCACTCGTCATTGCTTGTTCGGCATTTTTTGGGCAAAAACAACAGGGTAATCATGCCTCAGCCACCGTATTCCCCAGATTTGGCCCCTGCGACTTTTTTTGTTCCCGAGATAGAAGAGACCCATGAAGGGATGGCGTTTTGCGACGATTGAGGAGATAAAAACCGGATAGTTGAGAGAGCTCAAAGACATACCAAGAAGTGCATATCAGAACCGCTTCGAAGATTGGAAAAAACGCTGGCACAAGTGTCTTATATTTAAGGGGGACTACTTTGAAGGAAACAAAATTGAAACTGATGGATAAATGTATATTTTTTGAGAAAAATGAAAATGTACCTTATTTTTTTACAGATAGTTTATGTCAAAATACTATGATATAGACTGATTTACTGTAAAAAAGAGATTTACATTGGCAAGGATCGAATAGAACTTTATCGAATGATCATCAGTCAGTCGTGAAGAAACTGTGTGTACTTCAGGTTACACACAATTTGATAGTTCCAAAATTGCCTTCCATAATATAGCAAATGTTGTCAAGAAACATTACTGAGATGTTTCAAATTTATTTGTTAGTGATGAAATATGAATCATTTCTGCGATTTGGAAACCGATAGTCATTCAGTTGTGTTTCAAGGCGGACCTAAATCTGCAAAGCACAAAGGAAATCGAATTATCATTAACGTTCATTAGAGAACCGTTGATATATAAATGAAAAAGATGTACAACTCATCAATGATTCATTTATTTATGTATTCATTCATGATAAGGGATTCAACAAGCAATATGATCAAAACAGTATCCACTCAACATAACTTACAGTTTGTAGTTAACAAATGTTAAATGTAACAAGAAAAAGAGTTTGTGATAAGAAAGTTGCAAAAAACTTACAAACTTTCCAAGTTGTTGTTCAGTAGGAGTCATTTGATACAATTTCAAAATAAATGAAAAGATGTATCGAATATATCCTACTCATTAAAGAAATTGTTGAAGTTTCATATACTTCTACTAAGTGGTGAGTTATTAAATGAATTTGAGTTGTTGAGCGAGACGTAAAACAAGTTATGATTTCGAAATGGTTTTGAATGTATGTACTTCAAAATGAACTCTGTTGAAATGTCAGAGCAGTCTTTTTCATTAAAGAGTTAATGCAGATTCAGTGCACACACTATATTCTCTGATTTCTCGAAGACAGTATTTTAAGTCCACTGCAATTTCATCAGTTCGGACTTCCATTGTCTAATATAATATAAATTGATTTGAAATCCCTGATTGATTTTAAATTAAAAAGATTAACCGAAAATAAAAATTTTATTAAACAAAAAACTGAAATTACAAAGAAATGACATACAAGCAACAACCAAAAAAATAAAAAATTGAAATGTTATTAAAAGCTGAAAATTAAAAAATATCAATTTATATTATATTAGACAATGGAAGTCCGAATTGATGAAATACACCACGAAACATTGTCAACCATCTTCAAACAAAATCCACTGCAAGTCGTGGTGTCTGTGGTTTGAAAAAGAAGAAAAAATCCGGGCATTTTCGAAACGTTTGATGAAAACCGAATATTGAGAGTTTCCCATATAGGTGGCGAAGTTCAAATGATTGAAAACGTAAGCATACTAAAGACATATTGTCGCCTCAGGTTTAGAGATGAGTTAAATACTCAAAACGGAAAATTGTCTTTTTGAAAAAGTATTCATTTTATAAAAATACAATGAGAGACTACTTTCTCTAGCAAGAGTTACAAACAGAATGAATAAAATATGAGTTAAAATGATATGCATCGCTCCGCAAGTCCAGATAAGGATTTCTTGGAAAAGCGCTGACAGCAGATCATGTTTCTATGAAAGCAGCAAATCGTGGGAACGGGAGTTCCATAACTCATGAATTTACTTTGTATCCCATTATGATGCCTAACATTTGGAGTCATTTATGAGTAGCACTAATAATGTGAACATCAAAAATGAGTTTCCTATCAAAGGTGACTCCCAAATCTTCAATTTGGTGGTAACGTTTCAGTTGTATAACTGTCCGTGTGTAGACATTTTCTTTTTCGGTAAATTCTTATTATAGACCTGTCACGTCCTATCAACGACACGTTGATAAGCTAAACTAAGTTGCTTCACTTGCATTGGATTGCACTGATCGACAACCAAGTTATGACTCACCAGGGTTGGGCTTCTTGATATATGAACAAATTTGCTTTGATAAGTGTTTGTATAATGGATTTACGTTCATGTAGAACAGAAACAATATCGGCGTGAGAATTGAATATCGCAGCGTTGATCAACAACTTGGCTCAATCTTCATAAGGCATGGACAGAAAGCATAAGAAAGAGTGACTGGAATATATACAAACATTTCGTTATACAACTGAACCAGACATAGTGACCTTTCAATGATATCCTTGGAAGTTCGTGTTGTCGTACCAGGAAGTTGACTACGGTAAAGTTGAAGATGGCTGATTCAATCATCATCATCTTCTTCACGAAAGTCCGGAACTGTCACCAACATTGAATATGGAAAAGATAGTGAGGACAAAGGCACATATCTGACCAGAGAGAGTACTGACTACATGAAAGAGGTGAGCATTTGCTACAGTTCATTATAACAAACGAATCAGACATTTCAATTCTGAGTGATAATTGAAACATAGAAAAACTAATAAGTATAATATTAGATACTACATGTACAGTTCTACATGTAATGTGAAGCACAACAATAGAAAAGCCTTTGACAACACCACGAGGATGTTGAACAAACCATTTTATGTATCAGATTCCATGAGATACCTACAAAAAGACTTCAGGTCACAATGAATGATCTTGAAACAAATACCAGGAGTATACAGAAGCAGAAGGAGAAACTGCGAGAGAGCTACTTTGGGTGTACTTCCGAGGATAAAAAATCACAAATATAACATCAGAATCTGGAAGCCAAGAAGAAGGAACGCCCAGGAAAGATTGACTGGTGATGAATAAAATGTTACATTTTGAGGAAACTGAATGGGCCGGGATCAGATAACATTTGATCAATAATGTTGTGAAGAAGGCTGGAACACTCATTTAAAACACTGTATGTAATACTCAGGATAAACTAGACTCTGTCATACATAGCTGAAAAATGGAAAATGCTTTCAGTCACCTAATCAGTCTCATGTCAATTGTATATACAGTATTAGAAAAACTACTTAACAGGCATATTAGGGGCATATCGAAGCAAACAGTAGTAACATGGAGCTCTTCTTAGGCCAGTATTGCGTTCACTGTTATGGAATCTTGTTATCAACGAGTTACTACGTCTTCTACAGACCACAATGGATATAAAGTGGGTACTGTACTAGGCAGATATCTAAGTAATCGTGGACCAGGTGAATATATTAGTATATTAAGGGGACGCTTGCAGTAGGCTACAACTATGGATGAACCGAGGAAAAAGGGCTTGAAAAAGGTCCATCCTAATTGGACATAGTAGTATATACCAAGGGAGTGAAAGTGATACTAGATATCGGTCTAACCTGGAATCAACATTCAGAGAGACGGATATAGCATTAAGGCTGGCCAACCCTACTTTTGGAAAGACATATAAACCGATGGAAGTGAAACTCATGAGAAAATATGCTCTTTATTCGGGTGGCAAAATGACATGCATTTGCTATTGCCAGTCTAGATATGGTGCCTACAATTGCTTTTTTGGATGAGAACCGTACCATCAGCAACATTGGAGACTTTTGAATCTACTTTCTAACAGAAGAGCAAAAGTATGCTAATTTAGACTGAAAAATATCTCGAGTTATGAAGGATCCGGTGAAACAAATATCAAACAAATTCACGAACACCGAAGTATATTTTCAACACTTTTTCTACCCAAATCGCGAATAGTTTTTGCTGAAAGATACAAAAAAGTTCAATAGATTCAAAAAAGGTGACAAGTCTAATAACTAGTGACTGTCTGGAGTCAGTTGGGAATGACCATCTGTATAATTCCAAATAGGCGTGCACCTTTTCTCAACCAGTATACTATCGTTATACGTAAAATGGAAATTTTTGGCATAAAATAAATCTATTAAAACACTTTTTTGTTTTCAATAGATTGGCATTTCCCAATCATTATGGTTGCAGTTCATCGGCATTTGAACGATTATTAATTTAAAGAACCAATTTCCACACAACAATGCGAAATATACAAATAAGGTTAACCTAAATAATAAAAATAAAATATTTTAACAGAATACCAGTAAAGAATTTTCCATCAAATTAATATCCTACATTTTCGAAACAAATCATACCAACAGAATAAATCATACCAATATATTTTAATTTTTACAAGTTCAACTCTGATAAATTTTACTCACCGAGCATCTGAAGCACATTTGATGCCATTTTGCATCAAGTGCGATGATGGCCTTGTCTGCGATTGGTTTGCTGCATCCCTTGCATTTATCAGCATGTTTGGCGATGTAGCATTTCTGACAATGGGGAACCCCACCAAGGTCCATGAATTGAGTTCCGATCAACTTAGTTTTGCAATCTTTGCAAACGAAGTGATCCTCGTGCCAATTTACGCCCATAGCCTGCACACATTTCTGTAAGGAAAATAATAAATGAACTTTAGGTAATAATATCAACTGATGAAGGAACAGGAGGTGGTTATGAAGTAAGTAGGATATTCAAAAACCAGTGAATTTTGTTTTATCATTGTTACTTGTTTTGGATATATTCCACGCTGAGCTGAGATATTATCAATTTTCACTGCGATTCTCATCCGTCTGAAATATTATATTAGGCAATGTAAGATGATTTTGAAATATTTAATATAAATTTATGAATTTTTAACCGGAGTAAATGTTACTCGAATCATTTTGCAACCCGGCAAGAATAAGACAGTAAACGAAGTTGAGTTAATTTTAGTGTTAGAGAAGTACAAAACTATTTGAAGCCCATAAAATATGGAAGTAACATAGTTTCTAAATAATGAAGGTATAGGTTGCACAAATTGTTTTCGTGATTCCACTGGGACTTTGATTTTGAAATTGAACTTTAATTTCTCTGTTCTGTAAAATGAGAGTTCCAAGTTGTGTTGTTATTGTTGCAGTTGTGAGATTATGATCCTATTTTGATAAAATACCATTATGACAGTTATTTACAAATAACTCATATGAACCTTCCAGACACTGAATTGATAAGTATATCGAAAATAATAGACGAGCTGAGACTGAACCTTGCGGTATATAATTTCTGCAGCAATTAATAAAAATTTTCATCTTTCCAAAAATTTAAAGGTCATTCAGATTGCCATATCATGAACTCTTTATTTTAGTTCAATTACGACTCGCTGTATCCTCTATTTAAAAAAAAATCTGTTTAAAATCTGTTATTCCGTCAACTTACTGTACTTACGAAAACCAATTGCTATTGAAAAAATTACTTTCTTTTCAAGTATCCGTACAATATGAAAGCAATATTCAAATCGGATATTGTAAATGTAACATTTGCAATTTCCATAACCAGTATTTTTAAATCCTAGAATTATTCGGTTGTTTGTAATTTCTGAAATACTTGATCAATTTGAAAATTCAAGGAAACCATTGTTTTTCGGAAAATATGACTATTAATTTCAACGGATTTTATGGATCTCTTTGCTTGTTTCATTTTCAGGTATTAATTGGTTTGTTTTCATATTATGGTTCACTAAAATAACCTGTATCAATTGAAAACACTAATCTATTTTGTCATTGATGAATTTCAGTGAAATAGTCATTCACGATTCACTTTTTTTTTCTAAAATATCAGTAAGTTTTCATTAGATGTTTGAAGTTTTCCGGAAATTCTGGATATGAGTCGGTTCTATTCTTGATGACTTTTTGTACAGATATGTTTCAAAATTTGTTTAAATTCATCACCAAAAAATCAATTAGCGTTAGAAGTATCAAAAAATCAATAGGTATATTATACAAAATTTGGTAGAAACAATTTTAATGAAACATATATATTTTTAATGATTTAATTTGATAATGTTTTTCGTAATAATATTTATAGAAATCATTTGTTTGAAATTTTCATTGAATAAAGAATATTTTGAAACTATGAAGATTTAAATCTAAAAAAAATGAACGAATCATATAAGTTTCAATGAACACAGATAAAGAATTTGTAAATGAAAGAATTTGAGCATTAAATTTTGTATCGAACAATATTCTGCATTACGTAAGTTATTGAGTAAGTTTCATCTTCGTTACCTTGGATTATTCATTTTATTATACTGAGTGTCAATACAATGATATCAAATTTGAAGAAAAACTTTATATTTACCAAACTGAGATACTCAATATTTGAATAGATGTTTCAGCAGAACCGTTTAATTGTTTCATTTATTTAATAACCAGCGATATGACCGGTGTCGCCTGGTTGCAGAGCATAAAAACCTACATTTCTTTCTGTCATAGTGTTGAACAAACGAAAGTTTGTTCACAACTTTCAATTTCTGTTACACCCAACAACTTATTACAAAAATGCGCCTTTGATCTTACACCTGTAAAGACAACCAAGCTTCTCTATTTTTCTATTGTTCTTTCACGTTCATAATACGCCTCTGTCATCTGGGACCCCTCCACATCAAGCAGAATCAAATCACAAGTAACTGTTCACAATAAATTCATTTGCTATTTATATTTCAAAAAATTTCGAAGCATCCCTAGACACTCATCTCATGAACTAATTTGAAATTAACAAGTTAGTGAACATAGCTGACTAGGTAGATCAGGCAATTAATACCATAACATAACCCACAACACGAGGTTTAGGACTAGTTGTCATGTTGTTTAAAAACATCTGATATAATTGTCAATCAGCACTAGCTATTTGGCGGTAATAAAACAACGTTATTCATAATATTAAAATCTTATTCTTATGGTAATATATACCATACTTTATTTTCGATAAATCTTTATCGAGAGTTGAGAAAATTCACTGAAAACTTCATTTGATGAATCAATCGATAGTAATTGCAAGAATTTCAAAACTTACATCCATAATTGGCTCGTCACAAGCATGGCATTTCGGAGCAAAACATTTTGAAAAGCAAGGCGTACAATATGGAAAGCCATCGTTAACTCGGAATTTTTCTTCAGTGATTGGTTCCTTACATTCATTGCACCAAAAATGTTCTGGGTGCCATGTTTGGCCTAAGGCTGTTAGTACCTGAAATAGACTGTTAGTTTTTGCATAACGAAGCGATTAAAGATTTGATTAGTTTCAGCGAAAAACACAACAATGAATTCAATTCGAAGACAATTCTACTTACTCCTCCCTGGATGACTTGTTTGCATTGATTGCAAGTTTTTGGTTCAGTGGCTGCAGAACTCTGAAATAAATAAAGAGTTGTATTTTAATGGAGAGATTGAAACTGAATATACAATATTTTTTTCTCTATAGTGAATCTACGGATTCACTGCTGTAATAACATGGATACAAATTCTATGATTTTATATATCAAGTCTACAAAATCAATACAAAAACCTCACAGATTCATGAAAATTCTGGATAATTTTGCAAAGAACATATGATTTGGTGGTATATTTCAAATTTAACAGAAAGTGATGAAGGAAATGAAACGAAAGAAAATGCAACGACCCATAAATTATGAATATGTCTGCTTATCAATGGAATGGCAAATTCATACATTTTTCATACCTGTTAATGCCTGACGAGAAACCATTAACGGTTAATGTTACTAAAATTGATCACAGTCAGATCTGACTTTTTGAATTTTTATTTATTTCAAAAGTGCATGTCATAAAGAATACAAAAGCAAATATTACAAATCGCTCTAATTCACCCTAATCAAGATATGCGACTTTGAAACTGTGTGTTGATCGAAAGCTAGTGTGAAATCAGGAAATATGCGTCATTGTCGGGACAACGCCTGAACCATATCTGAACTGTTATTAATACGAATTATCTAATGTTTGAGGTTAGTGTGAAGATTTGTTCAGTCCATGAAAGTTTTATAGAGGCAGACTACATCAGTATCTATTGAAAATACTATTTATTCACTAGCTGGCCAAGTTAGCATCATCAGGAGAAGATTATTAGCGAAACTCGCGTCAAAAAACAGCAAATATTATCTGTTGAAGAAAATGTATTTCCAATAGATTCATTTCATGACAGAGGTTCTAAATTCTACTTATCGCAATACATCAGTAGTGAAATTAGAAGGATTAGTTTGAATACATGAATGAATTCATGTATATTACGATTCAGTGATGGAAAGTGTAAAGAAATCAATTTATTTTTTTCTGATTCAAAGGTGTGGCATCACATCTGGTTTTAGTCTTGTGATCAGAAAAGGCAATATCAACTTATACTCATACATGGATATTCTGTTTCTGAGTCAACTGCTTAGCGTTAAAAACAATTTCTAAAGTCCAATCATGAATTCAAACATAGAAGATAATATTTTCGAAGTGCCCAAATAATCAAAATGAGAGATTCACAAGAACATGAACAGAAAACTGTTGTCACCAGTGTTTATGAAGAAAAAGAAAATAACGCAGAATACAAAATCTTTGAAATGAATAACCTATACTCAACACGAGTTGAAGAAGAGTTGAATTGAAAAAAAAAACAACAAATAAGAAAGAAAATGGAAGACCCCACATTAGATACTGGGAAAGAGAAAAATCGACGACAGTCTTTCTGTTCAGTGTACGTCATGAAGTAAATACGAGGGTGGTCCCAGAAGTTCCCGGACTGACCTATAGATGGCGGTAGTTGTTTGGGAAATATTACCATCAGAAAGTACAGAATCTATAATGCATATGTTTCGAATTTGAAGAAGCTGCGTTGTTTATTATTTGTTTGGCAGCTATCAATAGCGAACGTTTCCGGTGAATTTGTGAAAATGTTGATGATTGGTCATCATTATGTGGTACAACACTTTTATTTGGAAGGTCAGGCCAACCAATATAAAAGCTGAACTGGATTCTACTCTGGGTAAGTCTGCTTCTTCGTTAAGAACAATAAAATATTGGGTTGCAGTATTAAAACGAGGCTGTTAATACGAGCATCGCAGTGGTTGACCAAATGAGGAGGTGAGGTTATTTTTATTTTCAAAACCAACAACAACTTGGACATGTATATTAAAAATAACAAAGATAAAAGTTCAGTTTCAGAAAAATCAGGAGTGTATAAATTATCGTGTGGGTCATGTCCGATGTTTTATATAGGTCAAACTGGAAGAACGTTTAAAACCCGCATAAAGGAACACAAATATAGTTTTCAGAACGGAAAAATAAATTCCACATATGCCCGTCATTTAATATCAGAGGGACATGAGTTCGACCATGAATACAAACCCCTCCATTTCCAGAAGAAAGGTTTGAAACTTAACCTGTTGGAGAGTATGGAAATAAACAAATTCAAAAACTCTCACCATCTTATGAACGATCAAACTGAATTGAATAATTCGCCTTTATTGAATTTGTTCACATGCAGGTAATAATAGTAAGGTATATTTACAGGTAGACTTTCGAAAAATGTATTGATACCTGACTTTTTCAGGTATATTTTTTCAGGTAGATTCATTACTTAGATAGACGAATAGTTACTAGGTTATAGTATATAAGGTGTAATTTAGAAGTAACGTTAGTTATACTTGAAGAAGCTATTGTATAGCGAAACACGTGTCGCGGTATTTGTAAAGCCCTTATAGTGAAAATCATAGAATAAACTCTATTTATTAGTTTTTTAAATATGGATTTTCATCAAGTATCGGCCAGTTATATTCAAAGACTGAGTAGGCATTACGGAAAGTGCAGTATATCGTATATTAACTGAAAATTTGAACATGAGAAAGCTTTGAGCAAATGGGTGCCGCGTTGGCTCACACTCGAGCAAAATTAGTGTCGTGAAGATGTTCCAATTGAGTGTTTAGCGAAGTTTCACAGCAACAAAGCAGAATTCTTGCGTCGTTTCATAAACATGGATTTAATAATAGGGGAGCCCACGATGCAAAATGGGGATTTACTCGAGCGTCATAGAGACCTATTAGGTTGCAAAGCTTAGATGACAAGAAGAAAAAGATGTTATATAATATATACCTTTTCGTCGGTGGAGGAAGCGGCTATAGATTTTTAAATATGAAAAAAAAATACTGTTGCATGGACATACTCGAGCGCGTCAGATATTGATATCATCAATGTCCTACGTATTTTCAATAATGTTCGTATGTTAATCTGATCGTTTGCATGATGCGGGTGGTTGTACGTAAGGGTTGAAATGAAAAAATCTGACGATTTCGATCTGACACAAACTCGCGGTCATTATTACAATGTGCAAAAAAAATTCGTCATTTTGAAATACTCAAGCGCGTCAGATTGAGATATATATGGTTTATCTTTATGTTCTAGACGTGCTGTCTCATAATTTGACGATTATCTAGAGGGATTCGTCTAATCTGACAAAAAAAAATAATTTTTTTGAATCATTGACCTTTATTATTTGAAAAGTTCAGGAAATAGCATGCAAATAAATAAGTATATGTATTGTCACGTTCCACTACAATTTGCTCTTGTAAATACTGAACGTCTCGTTGTATTTTAATTGCTGTAAATAATTTATAGCACTGTACGTGATATAATTCATTTGATGAAAATTCTATCAACAGTTGGAGATTATCGTATGTTGTTCGAAATTTTCGGAGTCACTCATATTGAATATTTATATACTTTAATTTACATAACTAACAATAAAATAATAAAATAAGCCAAAACGTTGGAAACACGTTGTAAATAATATGCCAGCAAATACCACTCTGTGGCAAAAGGATAGCTCCTTTGCCAATCCTCTCTCACACACACACACAAATGCCAAGCAAAACGGTCCCATTTGGCCGAGAAAAAGGTGTTGTTTCATCGATACAATGCACCAGCTCACAAATCTATTATCGCAATGACCAAAATTAACGATTTGAAGTTTGAATTGCCACCTCACGTACCCAATTCGCCAGATTTATCCCCGTCGGATAATTTTTTGTTCCCAAAATAGTAAAAATGGGTGAGTGGTCAAAGATTTTTCAACGATGAAGAAGTGATGTCGGCAGAAGATTATGATTATGAAGAAGTAGTATCCGCAAGGAGATTATGTTGTAAAATAATTTACTTTTTTTTCTAAAATGTTTGTTCTCTTTGTTGGGCCTAGTATTTCTGGGACCACCCTCGTAGATAGTGGTCGAAACTAGAGCCGGAAAACAAAGCATTGGTAATCCAACATCACCATAGATATCATTAGTTGAGTAAGGCAGAACCACAAATACATTTCTGGACTTACCTATCCGTAGGTATATGTCAAGCCTGAGTGAATAGAGGCGATGCCATTTCTCCTTGCGAAAACTCATTCCACGAACATTAAATATGAATGAGAATCATTCACTGCTCGTCCTTTAGAGAAATTTAAACCATAAATGCATTCGTGGTTCAGCCAATCATCACTGATGAGATCGGTGGCGGGTCGAAACAGTGCTGACCAGTGATGGATCACGGCGGTCCATGTCAAATCTTGGCTTTGCAATATACCGTCCTAGGACGCCTTGATTGTTTTCGATATTCGTGAATTGAGTCTTGTGCCAATCCCACAGATGACGCTTTTGTAGTAAGGGATGTCATCGCCTCTACTCAAATGGGTCGTTGAAATATCCAAAGGAATCCGTAAAATAATTATGATAGTAGTAACGAATTAATTTTTTTTTAGTGAAAGAAATCTAAATTTCCTATACGTTTTTCATGCGAGTAATTTACTTGGTATATAAATAGTAGGTAATAAATACGCTTTTCATAGAAACATTAATTGTTTACGGTATTATCAAGTTTTCAGTTATTTTTTTCACAACTGGCCTTTTCAATAATCATGTTCATATTATTGATGTCGTTTATTCTGCAAAGTTGCCTGGGCGAGTTGCAAATTATTATGCTTTGCGAATTGCTCAGAATAACATTCAGATTGTCTGAAATTTCGGGATCGATATTACAACACGCCCTCATTGAAGAAGCAATGTTATATTAGAGATGCGAATCGTAATGAAATGAATTTTCAAGAAATAAATTTAATGAGAATTGAATCTCGATTGACTCATGAACAAATATATGGTCTTTCAAAATACCTCAGATTTCACCAATATGTCTATACTCAATCAAATGAAATCAATTGTTCACATCTAGGTTCAACGCCATATCTCGTTTTTCCAGAAAACTGCTGAATTTTTTGTTCAAGCAAATAATGCCTAAAAGTACACTAGTAGGTACAGATAAAACTCCATCGAAAATACATCTGTGAAAATTCAAGAAAATATAATCGATTCTTCTTTTT